TAACAGTTAGATGCCTAACATGGGTTCTGGGAATCAAACTGCAGTCCTCTGGGAGAGCAGGAAGCATTCTTAACTCTAGGCCCATATTTTAAAATTTTTATTTATTGTGGTTGGGTATGTGTGACAACTCTGTGTATGTGTATTTGTGTGTGTGTGTGTGTGTGTGTGTGTGTGTGTGTAGGTAGACAGTTAGGTAGGTCAGAGGAAACTTTGTGGAGTTTGACTCTCTCCACCTTTATGTGGGTTGTAGTGATCAAACTCAGGTTGACAGGATTATATAGGAAATTTCTTTACCTGCTGAGCCGTGTGTCTGGTCCTTTTGTTGTTTTGAGACAGAAGCTCACTATGTAGTCTTGGCTGGAGCTCATTTTGTAGACTAGGCTGGCTTCCAACTCACAGAGATCCACCAGTGTCTACCTCCTGATTGCTGGATTTAAAGGTATATACCACATGGGTTCTGTTTTATTTTTTTATGAGTGTTTTGCCTGCATTTATGTAAATGCACTTGTGTTGTGCAGTGCCTGCAGAATCCAGAGGAGGGCATCAGATCCCCTAGAACTGGAGTTAGAGATAGTTGTGGGTGCTGGCAACTGAACCAGGTCCTCTGCCAAGAACAGCCAGTGCTCTTAACCCCTAAGCCAGCTCTTGAACCCTAATTTTATTTATTTATCTTTTTGGTCTTTTTGAGACAGGGTTCTCCTGTAGCCCCAGCTATCCTGGAACTCACTATGTAGACCAGGCTGGCCTCGAACTCACCTAATTTTACTTTTTAAAAAGATTTCTCTTATGTGTGTCCCTGAGTATCTGAAAGTGTGCTCCTTGTATTCAGTGCCTGAGGAAGCCAGCAGAGGATATTGGATCCCCTGGAACTAGGGTCACTAGAACTGAACCTGGTTCATCTACAAGAGTAGCCAGTGCTCTTAACTGCTGAGCCAGTTCTCTAGCTGGTTTTTTTGTTGTTGTTGTTTTTGGTGGTTTTTGTATTTTTTTCCACATGAGATTTTCCTATGTTCCTCAGGCTAAGGAAATGATCCTCCTGTCACTGCTTCCTGAGTAGGTAGGAATACAGGTGTGTGCCACTGGTCCCAGCTTGGTTATTGTTACAATCCCAATTCTTGCTGGTTGCTGGGGCTGTAACTCAGTGCAGAGTGCTTGTCTAGCATGCATGAGGCCCAGAGTTCAATCTCCAGCACCACAGAAAAGAGAAAGAAAAGTAGTCCAGGTATTATTGGGTATGGTGGTACATACCTGGAATCCCAGGACTCAGGAGACTGAGACAAGATGATCAAGGGTGTGAAGGCAGTGTTGGGAGGTGTCTCAGTCAGTAAAGTGCTTACTATTGCAAGCACGGAAAGGTGAGTTCAATCCCTGGGTACTCACGTAAAAAGCTGGGCATGGCAGTATGCATTGGGAATTCTAGCACAGGAGGACAGAGACGGGAACCTCAGGGGCTCCCTGGCTAGTCAGCCTAGCCAAGATGGCAGCTTCTATATTTATTGAGAGGCCCTTTTGTAAAAAGGAAGCGGAAGACACCCGACATGGATCTCTGGTCTCCACGCGTACATGTACAAGGAAGAACACACACACAGACACATACACTCTCACATGTACTACATATATACCAAAAAGAAAAAAAATGTAGAGTGAGTGAAAAGGGTTGACCTGGTCTCAACATGCATGTGTGTGTACACACACACACACACACACACACACACACACACACACACAAACGCATATACACACAAAAAAGTAAAAAAAATAAATAAATAAATTGAAGAAAAAAATTCGAGTTTGCCCTGTTCACTCTGCCCGCTGTTTTCCTGGCTTCCCTGTAGGACAGTTGATCGCAGACATGTTAGTCTCAGAATTCCTTTTTGATGCTAAAAGTTGAATATGCAGAAGCTCTTCTGTCTGTGTGTTGTCTATAGAAGCCTGAGCAATATCTTTGTGCTAAAAACTAACCCTGAGCTGGGCGTGTTGGCACCCCTTCACTGAGAGCTAGAGGCTTGTGGATCTCTGTGAGATTGAGGCCAGCCTGATCTCCATAGCAAGTGCTAGGCCATCTGTGACTACAGGAAGACCCTATCTCAAAAAAGATCCCCCCCAAAACCTGGACGAAGCATGGAGGCTCATGCCTTTAATCCAAGCAGAGGCATGTGAATCTTTGAGATCTAGGCCATAGGTCTACATAGTGAGTTCCAGGCCAGCTGGAGCTATAGGGAGACCCTGTCTCAAAAAACAAAACAAAAAATATGGCTAGGGAGATGGCTCAGTAGGTAATGTGGCATGGAAGCCCGTGGACCTGAATCCAATTCACAGAAAGAACCCACTTTTTTTTTTTTTTTTTTGGTTTTTTTAAGCTAATGTTCGGTTAATTGCAACGAGCATTCCAACCCGATTTACTAAAAAGAGCCCCGTTTTTTTTTTTTTTGTTGGTCTTTTTGAGACAGGGTCTCCCTGTAGCTCCAGCTGTCCTGGAACTCACTATGTAGAGCAGGCTGGCCTTGAACTCACAGAGATCTGCCTGCCTCTGCCTCCCAAGTGCTGGGACTACAGATGTGCGCCACCACGTCCAGCTAAGAACCCACTTTTTAAAAAGCTGGGTGTGGGGCAAATACTTGTAACCCCTGCACTGGGGAGACAGAGACAGGAGAATCTCCATGGCTTGCTGGCCTGCTGGGCTCCAAATTTAATGAGGCCCTGTCTCAGAAAACAGCAGGAGGCTCCTGAAACACAACACCTAAGAATGACTTGTGTTCTCCACAAGCATATATACATATACAGTGTGTGTCCACACAAAAGAACCTAAATCCCCAAATTTAAAAACTGTATTTATCCATTTAAAAAATAAGATCATTACATGTTAATATAAATAGTTTTTTTCTTTTTTTCTCTCTTTGAGACTCTCCCGTAGCCCCAGCTGGCCTGGAACCAGCTATGTAGGTCAGGCTGATCTTGAACTCACAGAGATCCACCTGCTTCTGCCTCCCAAGAGCCGGGATTAAAGGCATGCACCAGCACACCTGGCTTACTATAGTACTTACTGCCTAACCATCTCTACATTTTTTTGCTCTTTTTGAGACAGGGTCTTCCTATAACCCCAGTTGGACTGGAACTTGCCATGTAGACCAGGCCTGTCTCTGCCTCCCCAGTGCTGGGACTAAAGGCTTATGCCACCATGCCTGGCTCCACCTCTACATTTTTATCGTGTATGTGTGTGCGTATACACACAGGTGTGGTTCTCTCTCCACTTTGTGGGTCCAGCCTTTACCTACTGAGCTGTCTGAAAAGCCTGGCTTGCTAGACAGCTGCTGGACTGTGCTTGCTGCCTTCTGCCTGTGGTATTATCAGACATGAGCAAATTAGTGATTATAAAGCTAGTCTTGACCTTGAGGGGGCCTTAGGAGTGCCCAGTTGAGAACTGCTGCTTTAATAGCCCAGGCTGACCTGGAATTCATGCTCCTGCCTCAGCTTCCTGAGGCTGGTATGACTGGTGTGGCCTTCAGTAGTCTTGTTGCAAGTCCTGAGGTTCCCAGGATACTTCCTCTGAGCCTAATCAGAGCCAATAAGGATGCTCAGCTTCTTAGTCTCTTAGAAGTGGCTCTCTGTTTGGATGTCTGACCTCTCTGCCCCATACCAAACCATTGTGGGAATTGCCAGTATCACAGTGTGGAGCCTCCTTGTAGTCCTGCCCCCTTCTTCTGCACAGATCATTGACAGCCCTGGGCTTCTGTTTCTCTGTGCATGTAGTAAGGCTGCCCCAAGGCCAACATTGGATGCTTGCCTTCCCTAAGGGGAGAGACTGGAAAGGGTTCTCCATGATGCTCTTCCCTCCTGATAGGACCTTTGTCTCCAAGCACCTTGCTTTGGCCTGCTCCTGCTCCTCTCAGCTGCTGTGGCATTTTACCTGTTTGCTTTCTTTGACTTGTGTCATTCTTGGCTAAGTGTCAGTTTCATTGGGTGACAACAGCACCCATTGCTCTGCCTTATTAGTCTAGGTGGTGTCTTGCCTCTGGCAGATCATCTTTCTCAAGTACACAACTGTGTGTGGAGGAGTCATGTTTAGTCAGTGGGCCCCTCATGTCATTTGTCCACATCCATGGTGTTTCTAGGTTCATCTCCAGCAAGTGCCAGGCAAGTCATAATATCTGAGATGTCTGAGAACAAGCTGGTTTTAGCCAGACGACCTAGGTTAAGGCCCTGGCCTCTACAGTACATGCTGGTCACACCTGTTATCTCTTCCAGGACACGTTTGACATCCGGATCCTGATGGCCAAGTCTGTTAAGTACACAGTGAACTTCTTAGAAGCCAAAGAAGGAGATTTGCATAGGTACACCCTTCCCTGTGTCCATCCTGTTGTCACAGGGCTGGAAGCTGCTGTCCTGGGGCCTGTCTCCTTAAAGCCCCTTTGGCTTCCCCAGCAAACCCATGCTTCCCCTTGCCCTTGCAGGATAGAAATCCCATTCAAGTTCCACATGCTGCATTCAGGGCTGGTCCATGGCCTGGCCTTCTGGTTTGACGTCGCTTTCATTGGATCTATGTGAGTGAGGTGATGTGGTTGCCTATTTCTGAGGTTCATTTCTGTTGTGGTCCCCAGGCCTGGCTGTATCTTAACTTCTCAGGTTTCTTTGCCCCACCCAGACCCACAGAGAGTCAAAGTCCCTGAGGGAAAAGGGTACCTGTCACTCACTACAAGGATGTCAGGGTGACTGTGGGACACTTGCTTATACATCTGGCTGTGCCTGCCTTGGGGCCAGACTTATCTTAGCCCTGGGACCACAAGGGACGTGCTAGAGAAGGCCCTTGGGAACATCTCAAGGCATGGTGGGGTGGTGGCCTAAATGGTGATGCCAATTCAGTCAACTGTGTCTTTTTGCAGAATGACAGTGTGGCTATCCACAGCGCCAACGGAGCCCCTGACCCACTGGTACCAGGTCCGGTGTCTATTTCAGTCACCACTCTTTGCCAAGGCCGGGGACACGCTCTCAGGGACATGTCTGCTTATTGCCAACAAAAGGTGCACCCTGCCACCTGGGGCTGGGTGGGGGCAGTGGCACAGGGTCCATCGCCCAGCTGCCTCACAGCCACCATCCCTATCCCCCCCAGACAGAGCTATGACATCAGTATTGTGGCCCAGGTGGACCAGACAGGCTCCAAGTCTAGTAACCTGCTGGACCTGAAGAACCCCTTCTTCAGGTAGAGGGGTTCCAGTGGGGGGTAAGGTGAGACCAGGAGCCCCGCAGCCCTGCCCACAAGTCACCTCTGCCACAGGTACACGGGCACGACACCCTCGCCCCCCCCTGGCTCGCACTACACATCTCCCTCAGAGAACATGTGGAACACAGGCAGTACCTACAATCTCAGCAGTGGGGTGGCTGTAGCCGGTGAGTCTGCGAATCTGCCTGCCCCTCCCTAGACACAGCTGGAGACCCTTGGTATCTGGTCTGCACCTCATGATCCTGGGGTATGCCCTACACCCCTGACACCCTGTTCTCTGCTTAGGGATGCCCACTGCCTATGACCTGAGCAGTGTTATTGCTGGTGGCTCTAGTGTGGGCCACAACAACCTGATTCCTTTAGGTAAGTGTCTCTTGGCATCTGGGGTATGTCAAGGGAGGACAGGGCTGCCCTGGGACTGGGGGAGGGGGGTGCTTGGCCTTCTGCCACCACTTTCGCTGTCACAATTTCCTCTTCTTGGGGACTCTAGCTGGAGCTCTGGGTGCCTCTCTGCCTCGCTCTGTCCCACTCCATCTGCCCTCCCCATGCCTGCCATGAGTGTGGAGTGGGCCAGCAGGCGGGGGGCGGTGACAGCTCCCTCCCTTCCTTCTCTCTTCCCTGTCGCTGCGCAGCCAACACAGGGATTGTCAATCACACGCACTCCCGGATGGGCTCCATAATGAGCACGGGCATTGTCCAAGGTAACAGGGTGGCGGGGCCGCGGGCGGGGGGCCTCCCGCCTCGCCTGCGCACACGCTCAAGCTACCAGGGGGGCCGGGCAGGCTCAGGGGTCACACTGGCTCCTCAGTGCCCACGGCCTGCCCCACAGGCTCCTCAGGTGCGCAGGGCAGCGGCAGTGGCTCCAGCGCCCACTACGCAGTCAACAACCAGTTCACCATGGGTGGCCCTGCCATCTCCATGGCCTCACCCATGTCCATCCCGACGAACACCATGCACTACGGGAGCTAGGTGCCTCCGGCCACAACGAGACGCCACTGTGCACTGACAGCACCAGGAAACCAAATGAAGCCCCGCCGGCCGCCCAGCTGCCCCCTTGTTCTGGAGAAGTACGATCACCTGGTCACAGCCCTCTTTGCTATGGGAACTTGGACACTTTTGTACACGATGTTGCCGCTGCCCTCAAGTACCCCCAAGCCCACCCCTCGGCTCTGTGTGCGTGTCGCTGCCATATTTTACATGAGATCCTGTCGGGACAGCCCTGTCCCATCCTCTCCACTCTGACCCGGTTTTGACATCTGCTGGAACAGGCGAGTCCACTGATAGCTGTGCCTTGGGCAGGAGGAGGCCAGCAGCAGCCAGCATGGCCAAGACAACTCCCACCTGTTCTCGGGCCTGCCCCTCCTGGGATGGCAGCATAGCCGGCTGGACCTTTTCCTTCAACTACCAGGCCACATGGTCACCATGGGCATGACATGCTGCTTTTTTTAATTTTATTTTTTTATGAAAAGAACCAGTGTCAATTCACAGACCCTCTGAGAAACCCGGCCGGCCGGGCCCAGCCAGCAACCCCTGTCCCTAGGCTGAGAGTCTTGGGGTAAGGGGTGGCCTTGCCGAGCCTTCAGGATGGGTGTGGCCCCCTCCCACCAAAGGGTTCACCTCACACTTGAATGTACAACCCACCCAGCTGTCTGCAGGCCTCCAGCCCCTGCTTCCTGCCGCTGTCCTATCCTGAGACCCTTCAGCCCCAACCCCTCCACCAAAAGCTGGTACAGGCAGCCTGGAAGAAAAGCCACCCAGGGTGCTGGAGCAGACAGAAACTTCAAGGCTCTGTCACTGAAGGTGTCTTGTCCTGGTAGCTAACATAGGCTTGTGTCCCCTCCACTTGGCTCCACTCCCTCCTCCCCCCACAGCATCCCTGGGGAGGGGCCTGACAGGGACCTCTCCCTCCAGACAGAATAGGAAAGCAAACAAGCAAGGAGGCGTGTCAGCATAGGCAGTCTCCCACTCCCACACCCTGGCATTCCCCACCTCAGAGGCCAGAGCTCAGGCTGGGCCTATACCTGTCACAGGTATCCTTGGTGGTGGCTGGGGCCACCTGTCAGGGAAATAGGGCCTGCAGGCAAGCTGGGGGACCTGTCCTGTCCCTCGGTGAAGCTCCCTGCTCAGCTGTCCCTCCCTTGCCTTTATATAAATTCTCTGGATCACCTTTGCATAGAAAATAAAGTGTTTGCTTTGTAAGAAAAGTCTGGAAAGCAGTAGAGTGGTCTCCAGGGGTCCAGGGTCCTTCAGTCTTCACAGGGAGGACAGAACAGGTATCACCTCCTTCACTTAGCCTGAAAGAGACCCTCCTAAGAGTGGGACAGGGGAAGAGGACAACCCCCTAGCCTTAGCAGAAAAGGACCCTGAAAACCCCCTCCCCTCACCTGCAGGCCTGGCCTTCCTAGGAGGTTGCTATGGACCAAGTTGGGGTGAGCAGTAGCTGGTTGTTGGGGGACAGAGATGTGCCTTGGGATGCAGGTACCACATGCTGCAAAGGCAGCGGCTGGAAGAAGTACATCTGGAGAGAGAACTTGGGGTTAAGGCATGGCCAGGCAGCAGCTTGTCCCACCCCACATCCCCACCAAGGACTCCTAGACCCCTACCTTACAGCCTAGCGCCAGAAGGGCATGGAGCAGCACCACCGTGGACAACAGTGCTGTGGCCACCGGCCTCGTGTCCTCTTGGACGACAGGCCACAGAGTGAATACTAGCCCGGCAGCTGACAAGGTCAGGGCCAGTGCTCCAAAAAGCCATTGCAGCCACTGCACTGGGATGAGCCACAGGACCTGGGGTGACAAGTGCAGTGGTGACCCATGCAGGGTGGGCCATGCAGCTCCCACCAGTCCCCAGGGCTGAGCCACACTTACCACAGTGGGGATGAAGATGAAGAGGGAGTAGCCATAGACACACACAGTCTGTAGGAAGGAGTAAGGCCCCATATGCTCCCGCATGCCCTGGCGCCACCTCAGGAAGCCCCACAGTGCCAGGGGCACCAGCCATGCATAGCAGTAGATGGTGATGCCTGCCACAGTCACTGAAACACAAGGTGGGTGGTTGCTGCATGCCCCAGGGCCCTAGTAACTAGGAGGGGAGCCCACCCATCTTGCTTACCCTTGTGGAACTGGGGGCTGTAGTGGATAGAGGGGTCCTGCCTCTGGGCCAGCACCAGAGTCAGGTTGCCAGTGACCGCCAGGACAAATGCCAGGGTGGCACAGATCCAGAAGGGGCCTGTAAGGGGGACATGGTCAATGTCCCTACTCCTGAGACAGGTGGCTATGCCCCATTTCAACTGTTTGGGGACCCCAGATCCTATCACATCAGACTCTAGGTCAGTATTGACCACGGTTGCCTCTCAGCTCATCCTGTGTTCTGGAAACACCCTACAAGTCTCTCTTTTCTGACAAAGCTCTGTAGGTATAGGAGCAGTGGGCCTTGTGCCTCTTCACTGCAGTCATCTTGTCCAGCTTGAGGGCTTGCCAATGGTTCCAGGGACCTGTACTACCTGCTCAGATTCTCCCATCATGTGGTATCCTGGGGGCCCTCTGCATTTGACCTCTTCACATCTACCCATTTCCTGGCCACTTAGGACAATTCCCTTCTGGTGGTTCACCCTGCCTGCCCTAGTCTGTGGGCACATCTTCCAAGGCACATTTTAGAACCAGCTAGTCCACCCACAGCCTCTACTGTCACACCCATCCCTGCTTGCTCTTATGGCTTCTATCCTCATCCACAGAGCCAGAGGGAATGCTAAGAACACGCCAGGAACTGGGCATGGTATTACATGTCTTTAGTCCCAGCACTCAGGAGACAGAGGCGGGCATATCTCTGAGATTGAAGCCTGGTCTACAGAGTGAGTTGCAGGCCAGCCAGAGTTACAGGGAGACCCTGTCTCAAAACACACTCAGATCCCTTCCCAGCCACTCCCTCTGCTCCACTGACCCAGGAGGCCCTGTGGCTCAGAAATACTCCAACCAGGGTGTGAGGAGCTTTCTTGGTCTCTGTCTCTCTCTGTCTCTGTCTCTGTCTCTGTCTGTCTCTCTCTCTCTCCCTCTCCCTCTCCTCTCCTCTCGACCAATGAGGCCTATTCACTTACCCTACTCAGGCCTTCCTGACCTACCTGCTCCAGGCAGTAGCTACCCTCCCTCCCTCTAAGCCAGTGTTGTGTTGCTGCTTCCCTGAACCAGTGCCAGTTTCACTTTTCATGAGTGACTATCTGGTTCTCTGCAGTACAGCAGAGCCTGGTCCAGTCCACGTTTGTTGAGTGAATATTTAATTGTGTCACATGTACACAACCTGACTCACCATATAGGTCGGGCCTATTTCGAAGATGGTGCTGTACAAAGTTATGGCCAGGGCGGGGCAGTAGTGAGCCTTTGATCCGGTCCAGGACCTGGAAAGCAAGGTCAGGGTTCAGAATGGGGGTCCTGGGGCTCTGAGAGGCATCTCCCCTGCACACTTCCACACTCTTGTCTTTGTAGCTGACCTCAACAAGCTCAGCTATACTCTCTTGGCTTCTTTTTTCTGGTCTTTTTGAGACAGGGTCTCCCTGTAGCCCCAGCTGTCCCGGAACTCACTATGTAGACCAGGCTGGCCTTGAACTCACAGAGATCTGCCTGCCTCTGCCTCCCAAGTGCTGGGATTAAAGGTGTGCGCCAGCACGCCCGGCTCCTTTTGGCTTTTTTACCAGCTGTCCCTATGGTCTATAGTCTCTTCCAGTAGCCAGCAACTGCTACACATGTCCTCTGAAGGCCTTTCCTCTTTTGCTTTTTAAATTATTTTTCTTTTATGTGTATGAGTGTTTTGCCTGCATGTATATAAATGCACCATGTGTGTGCAATACCTGCAGAGGTCAGAAGAGGGCATTGGATCTTCTGGAACTAGGGTTGTGAGTGACCATATGGGTGCTGGGAATGTAACTCGGGTTCTCTAAAAGAGCAGTTAGCCATCTCTGCAGCCCCCTCTTTTGCTGCTGGTTTTTTCTGGGCGGGGAGGTTCTTTTTCAGACAGAGTCTTACAGCTGGCCTGGAACTTACTATGTAGACCAGTCTGGCCCCAAACTCACAGAGATCTGCCTGCATCTGCCTACAAAGTGCTGGGACTAAAAGCGTGTGCCACCATTTCCGGCCTTCTTTTGCTTCTTAGAACCTCCCCTCCCTGCACCAGTAAGGACATCACTGAGTCCAGGACATTCTCCCTCCTATCCTGGCCCTAGGGCCCTAATCTGTGTTCCACATGCATGTCTGCTCATCCTACCCATTATTCTCCCCATCTAAAGCCTTTCGTGACCCCAACACCCTCAGGCTAAAACCCAAACTCTTTCCTTAATAGTGCTTACATCCAGGCCTAGTGGTGCCAAGTGTATTATTCTCCCCAGCAACACAGGAGGCTGAGACCAGAGGATCACTTGAGCCCAGTAGTTTTGTACCCTTAACTGGGCAGTGTAGCAAGACCCTGGCTTGGCAGAGGCAGAGACAGGTGGATCTCTGAGATCAAGACCAGCCTGGTCCACATAGTGAGTTCTAGGCCAGTAGGGGCTATAGGAAGGCTGTCTTAAAAAAAAACAACAAAAAAAACAACAAAAAAAAGACAGACCCTGACTTTAAAATACACACACATACATTCATCTGCACCTCCTAGCTTCTGTCTTCCTGCCTCCACCACTCTCCAACCAGATGCAGTGGCAGGAGGCCTCTGACTTTCCATACCCTTTGGTCTTCTGTATATTGCTGCTTCTGTTTTCTACCCACCTGGAAAACCCTTTTCCTCTAGGTCTCAGTAAATCTGTCCCAGAGGCTCTTCCTTCAACACTAATTCAGGTGCATTCTGTGTGCCCCCAGAGTCCCAGTCCATCATGCTCCACCACATGCACCCAGTCAATCTGGGTAAGTGCTCTTGTTCTCCCTTCTACTATCATTAGTAAGCCTGCCCTGGCCTGGTTCTCCATGCATAGTGGCTGAAGCTCAACAGCTCTGGGCCTCTGCCACCAGTGTCCCAGGCCTCACCTGGGCAGTGTCCACATCAAAGAAGCTCTGATAATAGTCAAAGGTCCAGAATCCAGGCTGAGGTTTTTCTTCCTGTAGAAGCTACAGGGCAAAGACACTTAGAAAACCTGTGCTTACAGCCAGGCTCCTCCAGGGTGAGAAAAGGGGCAGGGCATGGGACTAGGGACTCACCGCTGTCTTGTCACCCTCCTCCTGCAGCTCTTCAGCTCCATAGCTGACACTGGATCCCACAACCACAGACACATGCTCCCGGGAGGCCAGCTGATCACTTCGGATGGTGGTGACTGCATCTGGGGTCTCTGTCAGAAGATTAGTGGCTTCTTCAAATTCTGTGGGGGAAGGAATATAGGAACAGGTGTGTTTGGGAACTCCAGATAATTCCCCTTGGCCCACTAAGTACCAAGGGGTCTGTGGTCACCTCACTACCCACCCCTAAGGCAGGGTTCAATTTTCTCAGTTTTGAGGCATGGAAGGGAGGTTCCTTTCCTCCCTCTCAACATGAGGTTCAATTCAGGGATGGCTCTGGATCAAGTTCAGGGCCTCGGCAGACTGGAGGCTGTGATGTGCCTCTAAATTCACCATAAGCACAGGGTTTGTGTGCGGGATGGACCTCGGGTTTGGACCTGTGGTCAGTGTCCCAGCCTGGGAATCAGGTTCAATTTGAAAAGGAAGCCAAGGGCGGAAGTAGGTCGAGCCACATCGGGGCCCCACTCACCGTGGAAGGCCAGTTCCTCAGCCGCTGCCATGTTCCTTTCAGGGATGTCACTGCAAACATCAGTCCCACAGCCCTCCCAGGCCCGAAGCTTCCGCCCAGAGTCCTGTCCCGCAAATAACAAACACGCACGGGAGATTTCAGCTTGCGGCCGAGGCGTCGCAGGTGCAGTCCGCCGGTACACCCTGGCCCCCCTCACCAGAGCCTACCTTAGCTGGCGTGGCCGGTACTCCCTGCGCCTGCGCGGCCCGCCTACCCGTCAGCACCTACCTTATTCCCGGCAGACAGCAACATCCGGCGGCAGTTCGTCTCCCATTCTGTTCCGATGACTTCTGTGCTTGCACCACGGGTTTCCACTCGGTAAACGGACCACAGGCCGGAAGAGGATGGCGACGGCCGCTCTGAAGAGATTTTGGTCGCGCGGGCGCGGCAAAACAGGAGGAGAGGCGGGCGACGCCGCTCTGGCGGCGAAGCCAGGCTTGTGGGCGCGACTGGGTGAGTAGTGTCGCACGGCGGAGGGGTGTCCGGAGCGGCTGAATCCCTGTCACAACGGCATTTCTTTCCCGGCCAGGCACCTGGGCGCGCGCGCTGCTCCAGGACTATGCCGAGGCTTGCGGGGACGCGGCGGCGGCGGCACGAGCCCGGCCGGGCCGCGCGTCCGTGTACCTGGGGCTGCTGGGCGGCGCGGCGGCGTGCTGCGCGCTGGCCCCGAGCGAGGCTGCCTTCGAGGAGGCCCTGCTGGATGCGTCGGGGTCGCTTTTACTGCTGGCACCCGCCACGCGCAACCGCCAGTCCGAAGCGTTCGTGCAGCGGCTGCTGTGGCTGCGGGGCCGCAGTCGCCTGCGCCACGTAAACCTGGGGCTCTGCTCGCTGCTGTACGAGGCGCCCTTCGACGCCCAAGCCAGCCTCTATCAGGCCCGCTGCCGCTATCTGCAGCCTCGCTGGATCGACTTCCCCGGCCGGATCCTCGATGTGGGCTTCGTGGGCCGCTGGTGGATACTGGCCAAGCGCATGCACGACTGCGACATCAACGACGACGAGTTCCTCCACCTGCCAGCGCACCTGCGCGTCATCGGGCCGCACCAGCTGCACTCCGACGCCAACGAGAGGCTGTTCTGCGAGAAGTACAAACCCGTGGTGCTCACGGACGATCAGGTGGACCAGGCGCTGTGGGAGGAGCAGATGTTTCAGAAGGAAAAAAAGGACAGGCTGGCCCTGAGTGAGGCCGACTCGCTGGTGCAGGCCGAGGTGGCCAGGTGAAATCCAGGGAAGCTCCCCACCCCATCTCCCCTTTTTATCCCCTCACACTATCTGCCTGGCAGGATGTAATTGGTGGTGCTGAGATCGAAGTCATGGCACGTCCTGATTTACCTGTATGGGTTTGGGAAGCCATTCTTGCTAATTGAGAGCTTTACTGGACATGGAGAAGAGGAGGAGCCAAAGGACTTAACCTGATACTATTTATTGCTGCCAGAGATGGGAATGAGCCTAATACTATTTAGCCTGTTATAGCTGGGCAATGTACCTCAGTGAGAACACTGGCTGGCTCACCTGCATGGGTTCCTCGCTTCCATACTCAGCACTGCAAAAACAAAACAAAAATGAGCCTCTTTTTTCGTTTGTTTTTTCCTTTTGAGACCAGGCTTTCCACGTAACCCAGGCTGGCCTTGAGAAGGGTTCTATTGCCCAGTGACCCCTAAGGCCCTAAGATCTTTTTTCTTTCCTTTTCTTTGGGGTTGGGGGTGGGGAGGGTTTGTTGTTGTTGTTGTTGTTGTTTTCCTTTGAGATGGGGAGGTCTCCCTGTACCAACAGCTTCCCTAGAACTCATTATGTATGTATCAGGGTGACCTCGAATCTGCTTGCCCCCCAAGTGCTGGGGTTAAAGGTATGCATCACCTTTTGTGCTCTCCTTTTTCTTTGTTGAGATATGATCTCACTATGTAGCCTTGGCTGGCCTAGAACGTGTTATGTAGACCAGGCTCACCTCAAACTCACAAATATCATCTGGCTCTGAAGTGTTTTGTTTTGGTTGTTTTGTTTTTATAACAGGGTCTTGAATAGCCCAAACCAGCCTTTGACTCACTATCTAACCAAGGAAGACCCAGAATTCCCAAACTTTCTGCCTCCACCTTCCAAGTACTGGGTGAAATATTTTTATGGTATGATCTGTTATTATTGTTGGGTCCTTTTGTGCTGGGCCCAAACCCAGGGTCTTGGACATACAAGTCAAGCACTGTGTTCCCAGCCCTCTTGTTTGCTTTTGAGTAGCATTTTTGTTTTGACTTACTTAAAATATTAGAATAAAATGATTTTGAAATTATAGTTTTGCAGGTACCCAGTATAATAATGCAGAGACATCTGGTGTAGCTTTTACCTGGCTTCTCTTAAGTGGCAACATTTTACATTACTAATAATCTGGGATTGCCTGATGTGACCATCTGGTTGTAAGAAATTTGTTCTACAAAGATTTGGGTTTACCTGTATGTGAGACCGGAGGTAGTCAGGAGGTCAAAGCACAAACCTATATGGAATTATAGATTCTATTACATTTCAGGGACCCTGAAAACAGAACTTATGGAAAGGAATAAGTTGGGATATATAGTGGATACCTGGTGAGGTTCTAGACCAGATTTTGAAGCTAAAAATTAGAAAAGCAAGATTGCCTCTGTTAGCTAGTAGGGCTGGAGCCACTTAACAGAAGAACCAGGTAATGAGGTCATCATCTGGCCCCAGAACTGTCTATTGCTGCTTGTATTATTTTTCTGTTGCTGTAGTAAAACATTATGACCAAAAGTGACTTAGGGAAGAAAGTTTATTTTGGCTTATGGTTCCAGAGGGATAAGACTCCAGAGGGATGTTGAGGCTCCCTGTAGCCCCAGTTGACCTGGAACTCACTATGTATACCAGACTGGCCTTGATCTTTTTTTAAAAAATATTTTATTACTTTTGCTTTATGTGTATGAGTGTATTGCCTGCATGTGTGTAAGTGCATCTGTGTTGTACACTGCCCTCAGTGTCAGATGAGGACATTGGATTCCCCTGGAGCTGGCGCATCGTACGATGCTGGCAATTGAACCCAGGTCCTCTGCAAGAGCAGCTAGTTTTCTTAACTGCTGAACCATCTCTCCAGCCCCTGGCCTTACAGATCTTATAAAACAAGGGACTAAAGGCATGTATCTTTTTTTTTTTTTTCTTTTTCAGAGAGGGTCTCCCTGTAGCCCCAGCTGTCCTGGAACTCACTATGTATACCAGACTGGCCTTGATCTTTTTTTAAAAAATATTTTATTACTTTTGCTTTATGTGTATGAGTGTATTGCCTGCATGTGTGTAAGTGCATCTGTGTTGTACACTGCCCTCAGTGTCAGAAGAGGACATTGGATTCCCCTGGAGCTGGAGCATCGTACGATGCTGGCAATTGAACCCAGGTCCTCTGCAAGAGCAGCCAGTGTTCTTAACTGCTGAACCATCTCTCCAGCCCCTGGCCTTACAGATCTTATAGATCAAGGGACTAAAGGCATGTATCTTTTTTTTTTTTTTCTTTTTCAGAGAGGGTCTCCCTGTAGCCCCAGCTGTCCTGGAACTCACTATGTAGACCAGGCTGGCCTTGAACGCACAGAGATCTGCCTGCCTCTGCCTCTGGAGGTGGGTGGGGTGGCTTAGCAAATAAAGTCACTTGCTGCCAAACCTCATGACTTGAGGTCACTCACTGGGACCAACATGATGGAAGGAGAAAAACAACTTCCAAAAGTTTTCCCCTGCCTCCATTCATAGATACACAAAAAATACAAATGTAATAGTGGTGCACACATGGGGGTGGGGGACAAGGCAGGTGCATCTCTGTGAGACCGAGGCTAGCCTGATCTACATAGTTAAGTTCCAGAGCAGCCTGGGCTATATACTGAAAAAAATGTTATAAAGTTTTTTAAAAGGGCCACATCTTAATATTTTTTTTTAATTTGTGAGTGTATGGCAACAATGTGCTGGTGCTCACAGAGGCCAGAAGAGGGCATCAGATCTCTTGGAACTGGAGTTACAGGTAGTTATGAGCTGCCATGTGGGTACTGAGAACTGAACTTGGGTCCTCTGTAAGAATATCAAGCATTCCTAACCACTGATCCATCTCTCCAACTTCCTATTTAATATTTTAAATTATATCTTTTTTTTTTTCTTTTTGGTCTTTGTTTGAGACAGGATCTCCATGTAGCCCCAGCTGGCCTGGAACTCACTATGTAGACCAGGCTGGACTTAAAATCACAGAGATCTGCCTACCTTTGCCTCCCAAGTGCTAGGACTAAAGGCGTGCTCCACCACACCAAGCTTAATTAGCATATCTTAGTGATATATAATGAGTTTCATTATAACATTTCATACATGCATATAAGATTTTTTGATTAAGCCAGGCGTGGTGGCACATGCCTTTAATCTCAGCACTTGGGAGGCAGAGGCAGGTGGATCTCTGTGAGTTCAAGGCCAGCCTGGTCTACGTAGTGAGTTCCAGGACAGCTGGGGCTACAGGGAGACCCTGTCTCAAAAAAGACAAAAAAAAATTTTGTTTTAATTTTTTGATTAGTTAGGTACATACCTTTAATCCCAGCACTCAGGAGGCAGAGGTAGGTGCATCTCTGTGAGATTGAAGCCAGCCTGGTTCCAGGTTAGCTGGGGTTGTAGGGAACCCTGCCTCAAAACAACAAAAGTTTTGATTATATTCATCCCCATTATCCTCTCCTGCCCTGCTACTCCCATTTATGCCCTTCCTCTTCCCACCTAGTCACTCTTCCACTTTGATGTCTTTAGTATATGTGACCTGGTAAGTTTAGAGTTGTTTAAACACATCAGCACCTTACCAGAGTCTATACCACTGAAGAAAATGTCTCCCTTCCGTAGCATCGCTTAGGTAGAAATCCTTGTGCTGGCATGGGGCCCCATGAGTTCCTCCCCCCTTCTATGATAGGTCTAATCTTGAGATCATGTTCAGGTAGTCACAGCTGCTGTGGGTTTGAGACTGCAACATCCAAGGGTGGTAATTTGGCTCAGGGAAAAGTACTTGTCACGAAGCTTAATGACCTGATTTTGTTTTATAGGACTAACACGGTAGGAGAAATTTGACTTCTGCAACTTGTTTTCTGACCGCCACAAGCATGCACGTACACAAATGCAAATAGTTTAAAAACCTTTTTTTTGGGGGGTCTTTTTGAGACAGGGTCTCCCTGTAGCCCTTGCTGTCCTGGAACTCACTATGTAGACCAGAGATCCGCCTGCCTCTGCCTCCTGAGTGCTGGGATTAAAGGCGTTCGCCACCATGCCCAGCCTAAAAACTTTTTAAAAGTATAATAGCTATGCAGGGAATGCTGGTACACTCCTTTGATCCCAGCACTCTGGAGGCAGAGACAGGCAGATCTCTGTGAGTGTGAGGCCAGCCTGGTCTACATTGTGGGTTCCTGGCCAGTACATAGTGAGACCTTGTCTCAAACAACAGAATAAAACCAAGTAAGACAGCCATACCATGCCTAGAAGTCGGCATTGCACAGCACCCTCCCAGAAGTCGGCATTGCACAGCACCCTCCCAGAAGTCGGCATTGCACAGCACCCTCCTTGCTTCCAGCGCTATGTTCTTTTCTCCCTCTTCTACCATGTTCCCTGGACCTTGGAGGGGATGATAAAGATGTCATATATCTTCACTTTACAAAGGAAAAACATGAGGTTCTGGTCTAGCAAGATGGCTCAGTGGGTAAAGCACTTTCTAATGTAAGTGGTGCACTTATATACACGTAGGCCAAACAGTCATATGCCTAAAATGAAAATAAAATTAACACATAAGTTTAAAATAATAAAGGTGGAAGAGAGACCAAGGAAAATGGCGATGTCCGCCTCTGGCCTCCACATGCACAATGGCACACAGCATGAGGTAGGAAAGTTTTCCTTTTTCAAGACTGTCACAGGTCCTCACTCAAACTCCAGCTTCAGTCCCTGGGACTTAGTTCTCAGATTTGTGGTTCTCCATCGTCTTTGGTCCCAACCACATCTCCCGATACTTTTTTTTTTTTTTGGTCTTTTTGAGACAGGGTCTCCCTGTAGCCCCAGCTGTCCTGGAACTCACTCTGTAAACCAGGCTGGCCTTGAACTCAAAGAGTGCTGCAATTAAAGGCGTGTGCTATCACGCCTGGGTTTTTTTTTTTTTTTTTTTTTTTTTAAATTACATATATGGGTGTCTGCATGTAGGTAGGTGCCTTGCCCCCATGTCATGCAATGCCCAGGGAGGTCAGAAGAGGTTGTCCCCTGGAACTGGAGTTACGGACAGTTGTTAAGCTGCCAGTGGGTGCTGGGAATCGAACCTGGGCCCTCTGCAAGACCAACCAGGGCTCTTTTTTTTTAAATTTTTTTTTTATGTGTATGAATATATTGCCTGCATATATGTGAGTGCGCCTGTGTCATGCAATGCCGCAGAGGTCAGAAGAGGGCTTCGGATCCCCTGGAACTGGAGTTAAGGATGGTTCGTAGCCACCATGTGGATGCTAGGAATTGAGCCTGGGTCCTCTGCAAGAGCAGTCAGTGCTCTTAACCGCTGAGCCGTCTCTCCAGCCCCATCCAGTGCTCTTAGTTGCTAACCCATCTCTCCAGCTCTATATACTCTTATTCTTTATGGAAATGGAACACAGGGCCTCCTGTATTAGGTGAGAGTTCTAGCACTAAGCCACATACTCACCTGTCAGAAATTTAAATTTTGTCATAAAGCTTGAATGAGGAAATAAGTAGAGGGTCCAGTGTTGTGCATACCTTTAAGGGCAGAAGCAGGCAGGTCTCTACATAGCAAATTCCAAATCAGCTAGGGTTCAAAGCCTGTCTCAAAAGCCAAAAATAAAAAAGTGTAGAACACAGTAGAGAATGTGTGTCAAATGGTAGAGAACACTCAGCCTGGATGCAGGAGGGCCTGGGTTTGATCCACAGCACTGCAAATAAATGATGACAAAGATCAGAGGTAGGCAGGCAGACCTCTGTGAAATCCAAAATATCCTGGCCTACATTGTGAGTTCCAGGCCAGCTTGGGCTACAAGGGTACACTATCTCAAAAGTCCCAGTACTTGAGAGGCAGAGGCAGGCAGATCCCTGAGTTCAAGGCCAGCCTGGTCTACACAGTGAGTTCCAGGCCAGCTGGGGCTACAGGGAGACCCTGTTTCAGAAAGACAACAAAAAAACCCCAACAAAACTGTATGTGTGAATTTGCATGTGTACATGCAGAGGTCAGAAATGTTGGAACCGCTGGAGTTACACAGGTAGCTATGAACTATCCAACTCCAACATGAGTGCTTAGAACCAAACTCTGG